AATAAACTGACACCTCAGTGTATTGTTAATATCCATCTGTATTATGGAGCACAGGCCATTTACTGTGGCTGGAGATGCTGTGAGCTCCCGTTATTAAAATGCTGACTTGCCTGTCAGGCTGTTGCATGGTTGACAATTCCAATCAAGTTTATTCATGTAATTCATATAAACAGCTGGAATCCATAATTCATTGCACATCACCTCAATAACAACATGTCTTTGCTGCAGTGAGAATACTGGTGCTGCTGAATGTCCCAAAACTATCTGGTTTCAGCTCGAAGCCTCAAATGGAGAGAGTCAGTGTTTCATCAAACAATACTGACTTCACTGTCTGGGTTTAGACTTCAAAGACATAGCAACTGAATAACACCTGGTGAAATATTAAAATGTTTTCCAAACTGAGGGCAGCACCAGAAAATCGGAGTATAGCCATAGACTGTATAAAAATGGACGTTGACTATGGGTTCAGGAAGTCTTGCCAAGGTGGAACCACACAAAATTTGTATTATCCCCATGATTGACAAAGGTCAACTCCACTGATTGCAAAATAATGTCAGTTTCTATAGAAGTCAACATAACATGAGCCTTTTTCTCACTCGATGCCAGTAAACATTTCCCCAAAAGAAGTTATTCTCTCACTTGCTAGTCTGAAGTCTTCTTCATTAGCGTCCAACCCTGTTTCTTTCTATGGTAATTCTGCCCAACAAGGTGCATTAGAGGTCGACACCAATAAAAGAGGCTAAAACCCTTTTGATTCATGTAGTGACCAACCCTTTCTTTACCCGCCAAACTACCAAAAGTGGATGGACACACCCTATAGGCACTTAGACCATTAGCTTAGATCATTAAACCAGAACCCTATTGGTTTTAACCCAATATCTTTTTATATTGATTTAAAAAAAACATTGTGATTCCACAAAGGTTTTAACTTCGTAAAGTGCTATGCACTGGTTAGGGGCAAATGTTGTGCAAAAGGGAATTATTGCAAATGACGGTAACATAACATGTTACCACTAATGGAACATTTACTGCCCCACTTGGCTCTGGTCAGTGTTTTAGTACAATCTTCAATAACCAACTTGAATATGAGCTAATGGCACCATCCGCCCACCCTCTCAAAAAAACACAACCTTCTTAACTCCCCCCTCGCAATGCTCGACCAGGCTGCGCTCTTCTCTGCACTGCTTCTGTTCTACTGTGGAAACATCTGTGTCCTAGACAGCATACAGCTCTCCAGCTGAATACAAAAACAGCAAACAAAACCTGCTGCATTTCATGTCGAGCTGAATCCCAGGGGGATCCCGACTCTTCTCTTCGCATTACGTTTCTAAGTAAATGCAAGAGCTGTTATTACAAAAGGCTCTGACTCAACAAATGCATCTGTGTGGCTGTGAAAATGTGGGGAAATATGTGCATATTTTAAAGGGTGTAAACGGATGTGAATTTTGACACAAGATGTGGTGACAAGTGAGTGTTTGGCTTTCACCGTACTTTGTACAGAAATAAAGGAAGGAGAAGAGAAACGCGATAAGATGAGGGAAAAGAAAAAGGACTAGAGACAGATATCCAGACCTATCCGTTGGGACCTGAAGGGGAAAAAAAGAAAGAGCAGAATCACAGGCCTGTTGAAGGAAGAGAAAAGAAAGAGGTGTGGAAGGAGAGGTCAGTGAAAGAGAACACTGTTGATGGTTTTAAGCTGCTGGTGTCACAGGCAGATAAAGGCTCCTGTGCCTCCTGGCTGTCATCTGCATTGCACACAATATCCCCTTTATTTGCAATATCACCTCTCTCTATTTTGCTTCATCTGCCTCCCTGGTGGAGCAACTCCCAGTGTGAAGCACTTTTTTCTCTTGCCATCACACCGCTGCCAGCAATACTTTATATATCATTCTCTATCATTCTCTTTTTTTTTCTCCCTTTCACTCGCTGAAAAAAATAACCGTATCTCACTTACACATGCAGTCTTTCTTTCACACACATGCCTACTGTATTTCTCACCAACTCATGCAGTTTTTTTTCTTTCCCTCACACACTTTGTCTCTTGTTACCTTTCCTGCATTTTACCCCCCGGTTGTCCTTATCTAACAATACTCTTTGCAGTATTATTCTAAGCTCAAGTGCTTCTTCCATATACCCATTGAGTGTAATCCTTTGAGTGCAATACATCATCCTGATTTCATGCTCAACCTCCTTTTCATAGAATTTCATCATATACAAACGACAAAGCGACACGTCAATAATCATACATGCTTTTTTAATATTTTTTAATATAAACTGTAATATATTGTTATTTTATTTGCCTCGTTCCAAAGCCTCCTATCACTTAATCTTGCGATTAATATTCTTCCTGACTTGAACCCTAATCTTGTGTTCCTGAACTCTAATCCTATGAATAACTCTTAAAATGTTCCCTGTCCAAAGCAGGAGCAGACAAAATGCCTGTAATTTGTAAGATTTCCACTCATCTTTTAATCCTTGAATAGAAAGGATAAAAGCCAAATAACACAGATGCACACTTCATGCTCACTTTCACCCTCTCTTCCCCTTTTTTATCTCTCACAAACGTCCGTACCCCCTTGTGCACAAACACACACACGCAAACTGGAGTCAGTAAACCATGGAGAGACAGGGTTCGGTTCATTGCTCACCTTGGCTGGTTTGATCAATGGCAGTGCGCCTTCTCAAATCCCTCCCACAAACAGAGCTGAATAAACAGACACTGAGCGTTTACACAGGCTTTGATAATCCACTAATCCATACAACCTGCTTTCTAACCAGCGCACACACACACACACACACACTCATATGCACGCAAGAGTGTATATGGACACTGATACTGTGTACATATCCAGGGACACAGAGAGGCAAGTGTGCACGAAAGCAAGAAACACACATTTACATGCACAAATACACACTGTGACTTTTGCCCATTATCCTCTCTGACCTCCTCAAGAGGACATGGTTGATAGTCTTGTCAGGGTTCGTAACAGACAGAGGGGTTAATAGGGATTAATGGACTGCACACACACACACACAAACACACATATACATCCAAAAGCGAGAACAACATTGCAGCCCCAATGAGTTTACAGGCTTTGATGCATCTTTGAAGTGTGTGTGTGTGTTAGTGGATTTGATGAATTGAGTGTACTTATCATGTAGCTGTCTACCGCACAGTGTTGGCACAGCTAGATGGGATAATTGAAGCATGAAAAAGCCAAACAGAGTTTGTCAAAACTCTTAATGGTCTGAGTTTAGCATCATGGACATCACACTTGGTGTCATTAGTTCCTATTCTGTGGAGCAGACAGAGATTTTATCACCAGGATAAAAAAGATAAGCACATTTATAATTTGTGTTCAGTTATTCAGACAATTTAATGAGCTGCCCAGTGACAATAAGATGCTATCTGTCTTAGCCATGCTTTTTTGTCACTTAATTTGTTTTATATAGACATGCATTACAGCAACTCACAGCACCTTTAAGGAAGCTCATATATTCATCAGTATTTTTATACAGGTTGTATATGAATTATTTATTGGGCACGTACGAGCTTCGGTCTGTGACTCCCTTTTTTGTTTGTTTTCTGTGGGCTTCTATCAACTTATTTCTTATTCATACTTACAATTTGCACATAAAATCCTGAAAATGACCTGAAATATAAATTATGACACAAACAAACAAAAAAATAGATACAGGAATGTTTTTATGGTTGGCTGAGGTTGAAATGTTGGTGCCTCATGTAAATCAAAAATATTGATTTACAGGAGGCATGCGATGTAGGCGTCCACTGAAAGACTGAAAATAGAGGAGAGCATCATGTCTGTGTGGGGACTAGACCTTTCCTAAAATTAATACATTACACAAATGAAATGTAGTTAGTTTGATGTTTGACTGCCGTTCTTTTTATTACATAATCTCAAATATGTTCTTCTGCATAGCTAAATGGCATTTTACTGTAGAATTAGCACAACCAGCTGCTTATCTTGATGAACTGGTCTCTAAGATTGACATAATCATTTCCATTTTTTGACAACTTTAGAAAACTCACATTTTCACAAAAAACATCTGATTATTAACAAACTGACGCAGGTACACAGAGTCCTTGTTTTTATTTTTTGACAATCAAAATGAAAGAACTGGTTTAAATGTCCTTGAAATTTTTTCCGACATTCCTATCAGTAAATCCAGTCATCAGTCCGTACCTTTCAGAACTCTGAAAAAAATCATCAAAACAAAAGCAAAACAGTTTGGTTAGGTTTAGAGAGAAAATTGATGTCGGGGTTTGGGAAAGTCATGGTAAAATTACAATATATGGAGGCGTCATCGTCATGGTCACAGTATTAATAATTATGACACTTATTAATCAAGTCATGATTTCTATGGCCACTAGAGGGGTTTGTCTCATGAATATAAATTTAGTTAATTATTTAGGCTTTGGTTAAAACAACAGATCCTATCTCTTCACTTGGGGGAGCAATTTTAGTTTAAAGTCTGAATCACTGTATTGTTGTACCAGTTCACCCCAGGATGTGTCAGAACACTGTGTAACTATCTGTAACTAGAACCAACATCACTGTTGGTTCTAGTTACAGATGCAAAAGTAGCAAATAACAGGTGAATAGGTTGTGACAAGAGAGGGCAGCACTGATTAATCAAGGTTACAAATGTTCTATTGAAGCACTTTCTGTAACTCAATATGAATTGTTGTGTTATATGGAAAGAAAATGTCACTATTATTTTTTCTTTATTATTATTATGACAAATGTGTACGAACTTGAATATTGGTTTGAGCAGTGGAAGTTTTTCTTTTTTTTACTACTCATAAGACATTTTGTAGAAATCTGTTGTCGAAGTGCCTTTTTTAACCATTCGCTCAGTCGCCATCTCAATTTTCTTCCATTACACCTCGACTGATTCTGTCCTTCAGTACAACTCTCTTTAAGCAACAGTGTCTATGTCAATTAAACCTCTCTCTCCTTCTCCCCCACTCTCCTTAGGTACGGTGGACAAAGACGGCGGGCAGTGCGTCAGAAAAATTCCAAGAAAAACCCATCTACAATGAGACGCTACGCATCAATGTCATCAAAAGGATACATGGGGGCCGCTACTACTGCAAGGCCGACAACGGGGTGGGGGTGGCTGCCATCAAGTCCATCCGTGTAGATGTGCAATGTAAGTGGGCAGGAAGAAAGCGGATAAAAAAATAAATAAAAAAAACTCCTTCCACTTCTCAACCACATCTGACTTTCTCTACGGCCATTCCCACTTTAGAGAAGACCAAGATAGGGAGAAATGGAAAGATTGGAGGAGGAAAGATGAAAGACAGATTGGATGGATGATGAGATTTCAGGTGGGAATGGCTTCCAGGAGTATCTGATGACTTACGGTGGAGATGATGAAAAGCATAGTTGGAGGGATTAGGGGGGAAGAAGATAGATCAAATAGAATTGCTGTATTAGGGAAGGGTATAGATAAGAGGGTGCAACACGCTAAAAACTAACATGTCAATTCCAACTTTATGCTGATAGAAGGCCATCAGTTCATAGTATGAATAATGCAGGTGTGTGAGTTCCACCAATGAGGGCAATTAGAGAAAAACAACCTGTTTTATCAGATACTCCTGGAGAGAAGTGAAGTCTGTGGGGTATATCCAGAGTTTTGTAACAGTTAGTCCAGGCAGTACGGGCTCCCTAACCCACTGTTTCTCAACTGACCCATGTCCACTCGACTCCAAAAAAAATCTAACAACTAAATCAGGCTTTTAAGATTTAGACATTGTTTATTATTGTCCTGTCCTCTGATTTAACACCATTAGTATGTAAATAACCAATTGACTGATCATGAAGAAATTACATCTCCCTGTCAGACTTTGTTACAGGTCATTTTAAATGTCCCTGTAGTCAAGGGCTCTGCGTGGCGCCTTTGTTATTGTTTCTGACACAAAAAATGTACTAAATCTTATTACGAGACCTGTTTATCTTGGACACAAGTAATTATCAGGCACCAGTAATTTTCCAGAGTGTCACTACACACTGAAGAGTTTTAACCTGCAACAGTGTCACACTCTGGTGCTGTGCAGAGACACACAACGTTTACACAATCTGTAGCAATCAAATTAAAAGCAGTCTAGTGACATTGGAGGAGGATTAACAAGACAAAAAGTGAAGTGCAAGGATGTTACGCTCTGTTATGCCAGAACTGCTTCATCACTGTTATTTGTGCAGCCACAGTAATTGATTAAACAGCCTGAATATCTTGGGAGAAGATAGTTTGGTGTCCTTGGTCCCTTTTCTATCACCAACATTAAAATTGCTTTGAAAATTTAATGGTTAAGCGAGTTTCTGAAGTTGCTGCACATGTTCAGGTTAACAGCATTATCAGATTAAGTTCCAAAATTAGATGTTGTTTCAACTGACATCATGGTTATTTCATTCATTTTATTCTGTAGCCCCATCTCTGTTAGAGTCAGGACAACGTGTTCAGGTTGGATCCTTTATCGTGCAACATATGACGGTTGAGAAGCAGTGTTGTGTTGTAGGGGCCCCGTGCTGCTGCTTGTTTCACTGCCCCACTGTCCCTGTGAGTCAGGGGCCAGGTCATTGCGACAGGTAGATTCACGTGCAACCATTTCCCCCAACACGTCAATACCACTGTACACTTTTATTTTATTCCCAGCACCCTAAAATCCTTGTCCCTTCCTGACATCCATTTATAGCGTTGATAGTTCTTCCCTTCATTGATTCAATCATTTTAATGGTCAGTTTATAGACTAATAGAAAAAAGGCAGATTTTTCAAGGGCCCTATAACATGAAACATCCATTACTTCTCTTGCATTTGCCAAATTCATCTCTTCTACCTTTGCTTTGTGTACAATACAACACGACAGCCTACATCAAATCTCTTACACCAACACACACACACACAGTCTAATATATTCAGTTGGCTTTTCATAAGAAAAATATTTAAATCAATAGGTAACCTTGAGTTGGTGAGTTCAGATAACGTAGTGTTAGTGTTTTTTTAATATATTAAATTCATTTATAAAGCACTTCTCAAAATACAGTTCCAACATTCTTCACAATAAGCAATCCAACAAATTAAATAGAAGGACATACAAATAATGAACTGTCCAGATCAAATAAAAAAGGCTTTTTGTTGAAGGTATGTTTTGAGGAAGCTCTATCGTTCTATCAGACATAAATTTGAATGTCGTATCATTGCGTAGTGAAGTTAAATATATTTAACAGAACTCAACAAGCATAAGTTGCACAAACCTGAGGAATGGTATTGACCACGCACAGAGACTTTGTACAAATATATTATTTCGTTCCAACAACTTAAACCTAGGAACATTTTAGAAGCAAGAAGGGAGCTCAGATAGCTCATACCTCTGGCAAGACTAATGCTCGTCATGCTGAAGAAAGTGGTAAATAATCCTGGATCTGTCTATTTTTCTAGACATCTCAATAATTTAATGAGTTCTTCCCTGGGTCATCATGTTCCACCCCTTCACAAAATTCCGTGGAAATTGGCTCAGTAGTTTTTGAGCAATCCTGTGGAGAGACAGACAGACAAATGAAAACATAACCTCCTTGTGGAGGCAACAATGTGAGGAACAGTAACACTAATGAGCATGTACCAAGTGACATCTGTGTTGATTCAGAACACAATTTTAACTAAATACATTTCCCCAGAGCATGCTGAGAAAAATCACATTCCTATTATTAAACGGAACATGTATGCAGGCACAAAGTAAAAAAAAACAATATAAGCAGGAGAAATAAAACTAGAGGTTTGGTTTAAAAGTACAAATTTAATTAAATGTCCTTAGTTTAATAAGGGCATTGTTTTACCTTTACATTTCATACACACACACACACACACACACATATGCTCGCCCCATGCTTGTCCCTTTAGGATCCGTCACCTACCCACCACCCTGCCTCAGCCTCTTAATGGGGCTCACCCCGCCTCCCTTCTCCTTCCTCCCCTCTCTCTCCTGATAGTGTTAGTTCTCCCCAGGCGCCAGCTCGGCCCCTGCTGAGGAGCTGGTAATTGCGGGGGTTCTGGGTAGTAAACAGGTTGTATTGTGAGTGCAGTTGTGACAGGGGCTTTGTGAAGCTAACCAGCTCTGATGGCCAATGCTTGTTCAATTCTCCATCCCCCCATGCTGCGTTAGACCCAGCAGCATTCAGCCACGCTTCCCACACACGGCGACTTTAGTGCTAGAACGATGTAACAATTAGCCTGGGCTACCTGGGAAGACAGAGAAAGAAAGAGGTGGAGATGAAAGAAGGATGAGAGAGTGAGGAAAGAGGGGTGGTCAGGAGGGAGGGAAGACAGAGGGAAAAGGAGGCAGAGAGCCAGCAGCAACCACCAGGGCTCATTGCGTTGTGATAGTAAAAGTCAATACAGATGAGCCATAAACAATGAGGTAAACTGGAAAAACTCCACAATCCTCGTTCTTTAATTACAAAAACAAAGCCAATGACTATTATGTATATTAATTTACAGATGGGACAGAAAAATCAATGTTTGTAACGTGCAAAGCCATCAGCCACCAGCACACCATATGTTGATTTTGGTTGAGATCTATTGTTACTGTAGTTATAGCATAGGAGTCCTTTTGTTATTATACTTACCAAACCATTCAGTGCCCTCTCATGCACTTTATATGGAAGCTAAAGAAAGAAAGGCTAACATGTCAGCCACACACATTTTCAATAAATATTATAAATCAAATAGCCC